CCCCAAAACCCCAAAACCCCAAAACCCCAAGTTAGAATGACTAACGATATTAAAGGGAAATAAAATCAATTCTAGTGTTTAATGAGAAATATTAAACTTATAATTGTATTAAAATTGCATAAAAATGAGTTTTCTAGTAATTCAATAAAAGCATCAATAATTTAATTTTGTTAACAACAAACACCATTCCTAGTCAAGAAGCAAACTAACAGAAAAGATGATGAGAAGTTAATAGCAGATAAAAGTAGTTAATATGGAAGATCAATATGAACTAGAAATCGATAAGCAGCTTAGGAATCTCCCAGATTTAGATGATAAATTTACATAGGTTGAAGTTTTACTATTCAACAATAACATTTCTATGAAATGAGAACAGAGACTGAAGCGTAAATTAAAATTTAAGAAGAATGAGAAAGTACTGTCGAGTCCTAGGTCTCAAGAATATCTGAGTTTCGATGAGTCAGTAAGTATTCAAAGTTAAGATATTTAGGAAGATATTGAGAGAAATTCTATGGATGAATGGAATCAGCAGCAGATCAGCAAAAATGATATTAAACAGAATTAACCATAGAAAGAGGAAATGGAAAAAATGGATATAGATGATGTACTAGAAATCATACTAAAAAAGATTGCTCCATAAATGATAAGCTAACTAATAATGAACAAGCTTGTTATTAATGTTAACAGCTTTATCCCTAACAATAAATAAATAATGTCAATTAATCGAGGACTCTATAAAAGTAAGCGGCATAAACCAACTTCGATGAAAAATGATAGATTGACTTAAAACTTGAGAGTTGATATCGCAATTGAAAAATCAAAATCAAGAATGAATATAGCAAGTAGAACACATTAAAATATAAGCACAAATACCATAATATCACCTGCTCTTAAGAGACGAAATTAAGATAGTAATTCTAAAAAAGATAAATTTTCTCCACCTCCTCAAGAAGGAATTTCCTCTAGGAAAAATAGTACTATAAAATAGCATGAGCTTGACGAAAGTTCTAATAAACAACCAGGGATTGCAAATCCATTTATCAGAAAATTCAAGACTCAAAGAGAAAAGTAAAATCAAAAATACAGGGAAAACGGGGATAGTAGTAGTAATTCACCACCGAGAGTTTAAGTGGTGAAGGGAAGCAATAGTATGAATGAAGTTGAAAGCGATGATTTAGCAGACAGTGAAAGAGAGGATAATGATTCAATGACTAATGATACTATGATACTTAAGAAGAGTAAAAAATAAAGATAGTACAATTTTCTACGCCAGCATCATAACTATTAGAAAATAAAGCAACAGCATAATGATGGTGTGTCTAATTCCAATGCTGAAACTTCGAATCAATTTAAATTTTCAGTTTCATCTGTTGATGACCAGAGATTTTCTAAATTTGGAAGATCGACAAATACCAATCATGACCAGATGAGCTAATCAAGAATGAACTATTAAGTCTCAATGTAGAACATGGGATCAAGCTTAAAAGTCCCTGGAGTTAATTAAAGACAAATTCCTTTGATGAAATCTCAGTTTAACAAACAAAGAGACTCCATTGAGGAAGGAAATGAGGACTAATTTTTCATTACAGGCTATATTGATTAATCTGATATAAAGGTTGAAAATACTAATACTAAGGAGATGAGCAAAACTATGAAACTAATAAGAACAAGTTTTGGTCAAACCACAAAATATCCAAAATTTATCAAAATTCTGAATAAAAGGGAGTCATCAGTTATAAGAAAGCAAAGAGATAATATTTTCCGAGCATCATTAAGAGATACAGACGTCTAGCTTAAACGATAATATCTTAAGACTAGAGGAAATTTCATTAGACCGAGAAAAAATTTATCAGAGATTAAACCTGAACTAAACACTTCTAAATTTTCAATTAACAACGGTCAGTTCTATCCATAAACCACACTTCCTAATATATCTTCATAACTTAGGAATTCAATATAAATTAAAGAAGGTATTAGAGGAGGATTAAATAGTACGCAATTGTGAAACAGCAGTGATTCTTCTATCAGAAATAACCTTACAGCTAAGATTTACAGAGATGCAAACAAGAATTTACTACATAAAATTATGGATTCAGAGAGACTTTAAAAGTCATATGAGTTTAATCATAGAAAATACAATCAAGAAAAGATAAAAGACATTCATAATAAATGGAATAACATGATGCAATATAAAGGTTGAAGATAAAGCATTTAAAAATTAGAGTAGATTCTTATTAATGGGCAAGGAAGTAGTTAGATTCAAAACGGAGTTGAGACCGAAAGAAAGATATCTTCATGAAAAAGAGTGAAGTCTAATGCAGCTTTGAATAAGTCAGGGTAGATCATTAATTTCTAGAGAGAACCGAATTAATCTTTATTAACATAGAGCCCTGAAGAGTAAAGAATTTCCATTCAATAAAAAAATCTTGCCAGACTATAAAAATTAGAGGAGATCAAAGATATGTTAATAGTGTAAAGTAATAGTTTAAACAATACTGCTTCATCTTAATATCAAGCAAATCAATTTTTAATGACTAAATCTAATCAATATCAAGGATAATCTACTAATTATGCCTCGATTAGAACTTCAAGAGATTTTAAAAAGACAGCAAGAATTGTATATAAAATTGACAATAGAAGTGTCAAATTAGACAGAATTTTAGCCTTAAAAGGCTTGTCCTAACATAAAAACTAATGAATATTTAAACTATAAGTAGATTAATTTAATACTATGAATTTATTATTTACAATTAATATTATTTGAGTAAAAGAAGAATTGGGGTTTTGGGGTTTTGGGGTTTTGGGGTTTTGGGG